GCTATCATCACATGGCTCCAATGATTGTTTATTTCGCATTTTCGCTCTCTTTTGGAAATGTGAAAGCTTGAAGTTATATAACTGTAAGTTTGTGGGTGTCATTGATAAAGATCTTGAAATTCAATTTTAATCTCTATCATAATATACTCCTTTGAGGATTTTTAATGGAAAAATTTGGAGGTTGATATCAACTATGAAAGATTATTTCTTACGGTTTTCATGCCCATTCTCTATGATGAACTAAAGCTAATGATAGTAATTAAGCACACTAAAATAATAATAATAATAATTAAGCACACTAGTTCAAAAGCTTCTACAATGATTAATGGCACGTTTTCACTTGTCACTTTCATATTACTCAGCAGATTCTTAGCTTTCCTTATAACTGTTTGATTTTCATAAAGTAGCAAAATTATTAACACATGATTTTCAATATTTAAAGTTATTCTTAACTAATAAAGACACATAATATCAAGAAAAGTCAATTAATTCAGCTTCTCATGATATATAATCTAAAATTTTGTGGGTTAGCCACTATCAAAAGTAGCTAGTCACTTGTGGCTAGACTATCCTCAGCATTATTATCAACCCAACACGTGTCATTGTAAAGATTCTAATAATATTAAGAGAAAATTAATATATAATGAATATCTTAAATTTTCTTTAGAGTAAACATTCTTTATAATGCATGTTCTATTATATGAGAAATTATTCTGTGCGCGCAGACACCGGATCTTGTCCGGAGGCAAATCAGAGTGCGCCACATCACCTAGTAAACAGCAGGTACAGAGCCGCAGTACATAGCAAAGAGGTGATGTGTCACACTCTGATTTTCCTTTGAACGGCGTCCGTATTCGCACAGAATAATTTCACATATTATACATTTATACTATAACCAATAACACTAAGATCATTAAAAAAAAGTAATTTTGTATATCTCTAACATGTAAAATTGGAGAAATATACATACAACTTATTTTCATGTAAATATATATTTGGAAGTTCATTTTCCTATTCTTAATTGTGGAACTTTATATTTATAAACTCATTAGTTATTAAAAAAATATAGCTAACTCTATTTATGATTATTCAAGTGAGAAAATAAACTAAAAAAATTTTGAATTAGATAAACTTTCAAAATATTTAACTTTATTTTTAAACCAAAAATTTAACCAATGAGTGAGAGATTAGTCAATTAGTATTTTTACATCAATATATTAATATTTAACTATACGAGACTAAAGCTTCATTTAGAATGGTTTTTTTACTGCTTCTTAAATATAAAGCCGTCCTAACGAAGCCTAAATTTAATATTCTGACGTGCACGTCGTAACAATTTTGTACATAAAAGCTCTTAATGTTGATCATCACTCCCTCAGTAACTAAAACTTTTAAATATCATCAAATCTACTATATTAATAGTCCATCCAACCGCACACATATATGCAGCTTATCGTAGAATTTATCAGCTCTTGAACCTTTTTTTTTTTCCAAAAAACTCCGCAGAAGGGGCATACAAGTTAAAACAAAATAAGGATACAAGTCCTTAAAGAATTTAAAGCCCTCTAGAAATACATCATTTAAAGGAAAACATATGAGTCATAGATTCAAACTAAAGATAAGATCAAACAAAAGAAGCTAAAAAACAGAAACACAAAGCAAAGGTAAACAAGGCTCAATCACACAACATAGGAAAAGACAACTGGAAACAAGTCAAACCAACACCAAACAAAATCAAATCAGCTCTAACATCCAAAAAGACTGCATCAGCATCAATGCCAGCACCAAAACAGCTGAAAACGGCCAAGGCTTCCAGCGTCCACGATGTCCCGCACGGACCGTCCAGTTAGTGTAGAACACATCCCAAATAACCGTCCCGAAGTCCACACCAACGGTTGCCACCAGCAAAAAGGACCGGGACGCGAGCCCCGACCACATCATTGCCCTTAGCCTCAAACCGCTGCAAATCGAACAATGAATCCAAACGAACCGGAAGAGGAACATCAAGAAGAACAACATAACAAAATGAGAACTCATCGTCTACGTCGACTTTTCCCCCAAAATTTTCCCCGAGTAGCAACATTTGTAGTATACTCAAGAGAAAAATCATTATCAGTCTCATGAAGTTCAGATTCCAATTCATCATCCGACGAATCACAAAGCCAATCACCCTGTTTCTGAATCACCAAACCAGAGGAATTACCCACACAAGTAGCCATCGCTTGTGCATCAATTTCGTTTACGGGAACCTCAACTAAACTATTGTTAGAAGAAAAACCTTCCACCCTACCCAGAGGCACAAAACCATCAACACCACCTTCCAATTTTTTTAAAAGCTGTCTACCCCCATTTGAATTTACTACACCCAGAGTAGGCGAACCATCAGAAATCGCAGCAGTCACCGGATCAGCCCCCACCTCTGGCACCAGAACAGGGACCTCAATTGGAATAATAACAGCTGGGTCAACACCATTAGGCGGGGTAGAAGCTACCTGACCTCCCAAATGCAACAAAAAATCATTCATGGGCGTAGCTATAGGGGGGAAAAAAGGCAAAGCATTTGGAGATAATGCATTCCCTCCAACAACCTCTCTAGTTAAACAAGAATTATCAAGATCAGAAACCAACCCAGTCAAAACCTCTTGATTTATATTCATGGCTCAGCCATAATACATCCCTCATTATTAGACAACACCTCTAAATTAGAAACATTAACACCCTCCAGATGCAGCTCATCATGAATAAAAGGAGACACGGCCAAAACCTCGATAATGACCGAAGGGGCCTCCACAACAGGAGACGGAACAACCAAATCCAGTTGAGGCACCACACTAACAGGATTACAAATCACCTCATTCTCATTCAATTTACGGTTCTCCACATCTTGAGCTTTAGCAAAAACATTCTCAGCGAGAGGAAGATTAGAATTCAAAAAATGCTTCGCATAGGGTGCACAGTGACCTTTAAGGTGTCCTAGACATTTGCAAGACTCACAAAAATCAGGGAAAATTTCAAATTGCACATTTTGAATATACCCAGAATCCTTAGGACCCAGCCATATCTGTTTCGGATAAGTCCTAGTCACATCCAGTTCGACTAAAACACGCGCGAGAGAAGGTCGAGAACCAACCGAAGTAGCCGAGTCGACCTTCAAAGGATTTCCAAACATAGAACCTAAAGCGTGAAGGATAAGGGGAGTAAAGAGATGAGGTCTCAGTTTGGGGAAGGATATCCAAATTGGAATGACTGAAGATTCACATCCAATTTCTAGAATAGGCGACCATTTCGTAATCTTCATAAAACAATAGTTCACCATATAAGATCGATGACAAAAAACACGGCTGTAATCAAGCTCATTTGACAATTTAATCAAAACATGCGTTTGATCCAGAACTGTGACAGAGATTTCGGCTTTGAGTTTGAGGGCAAAAAAAAAATTTTTCGAATGGCATCCAAAGAAGGGCGTTTTGTGGGAAAAAAACCAACTAAGGCAAACTGAAAAGGCAAAGAAAGCGCACAAATTTCTTCCTCCGAAATCCACAAAGATGATAAACCTCGGAAAGAATCATGCCGGAGATCAGGAAATCTCTTCGAAGATACAGAGCCAAATAAAGCTTCAGCAAAGGACTTAGATTTAAACGAACTAACCAAAAAACCAGGGTCCTCAACCCGACGGACCGCCATCCAGCCGGAACGGCCGGAGAAGAAAGCGCCAAACAACATGAAAATGAAAGGGAAGTATAAAATACCAGAGGAAATCGCACTCGATCCCCAACCGAAAGTTGACGGAAAACTACTCCGATGAGCCTCATCATCCGCCGCCGACACGCTTAGGACAAAACCCTAGCAGAGCCATCGAAAGAAGTTGTTAAACCTTCTTGTTTCTGGTTTTAAGCATTGCTAGATTTTTTTTGCAGCTCCAAGAAGAAACTATATATCAATGACCTATGAAAAGCGCAAATTATTCATGAATCCCATAACTAATCTCAGATAAACTATCGGCTATGATATCACTTATAAGAGATTATGAATCAAAGGATAATCATAATTGAACCAAATATAATAATAATAATTTTTTTTTTCTTCTTTAACCTATAAAATTAAAGTTATATATAAAAAAGAATCACTACGTATTTCTGTAAAAATATAATTTCAATTGCTCAATGTGAGACTGGACTGATCAATACTCTAATTTCAAAAAAAAAAAACTAATAATAAGATTTTTGGCTGACATTATTTGAAAAAATATGGCTATATTAATTCAAAATAATTGTAGTGATATTATGAAATAAATTTGACTCGTTGAAGCAAATATTTTCCATAAAATATCTTTAAAAAAATATATATAATTTTGATTGAATGTTTAACTCAAATCAACAGCCCAGTTTTAATAATTTTGTTTTTCTTACACCGACTAATCAGAATTTAATCACATTTGAGTGAGTCTATTGCGTAATTAGAGAGAAATAAAGATAACTGAAAGTGAGACAACCATTATTATTTTTTGGTCCTTTCCTCCTTTTTCCCTAATTGCGGTCAACTGATGAACAGATCAAATCATTTTTGAAGGGCGCACTACCAGTTCTCCTTCCTTTGGCCTGCTCGCACCAAATCTGCCTACCAAAGAAACACCCATTGGTTGGTTCCTGTATGATTTTGGCCAACATCAAAATCCTAGCTTGCTAGACCAATAAGTATCCGTTTACTTTCTAACTTCCACCATCATTAATTAATTCAATCCTACAGACGTAATTAAGAGTGGTGGAGAAATTAAATTAATTTAAAGTTTAAGCCTGAAATGGTGAGGACTTGAATCATTTGAATAATACCCTTGCCAAAAATTAAAAAAATATATATAATAAAGGATGGTTCAGATTACCTGAGCTTTCCACCATAAGAATTTAAGCAAATCTCCACTGCGCACAGGCATCTGATGCTCGCTGCCTCTATCCTATAAATACCCCATAAATTTCGCAGAGATCGATATCCCATCAGAAAACAAAAGCTTAGAGAAGTAGGAAGCTCCTCCTCCTTAGAGATGGCCACATACCCTCCAAGACACAGTTTTTCCAATGAGATTCATGACATTGACATAGTCAATAACACCATTGCCATGGCTCCTGAGAGCTACTCTCATCGGTCCAGGCTCTTGCCAATAACTCTCCCTCCTTTTCTTCTTCGAAAGGTGACTATATAATCTTATTAAAAAAATTTATAGAAATTTCTTGAAAAACCATTATTGAATTTTATTTTGTGATAAGTTTCTATTGTTTATATATATAATTAGTAGAACAAGAGTGAATGCTCCTAGGAGCTTGGGGAGAAACTCTTGTCATCTCTCATATATATTTCTAATATCCACTTTTACATTTTTAATCTTTGTTCTATTTCTTACAAATATTTTGATTCAGATTTATAAAATTAATTAAGTGGGATCAGAGGAAGATTAAGGTTTCTCTTTGGGACGGCTTCCTTTCTGCTTCTTAAAGCAACTTTATTGTACAAAAAATTTAATTTCTGTACTAAGAAGCTGCTTTAAGAAGCAATAAGAAAATCGTCCCAAACATTAATGCCTAAGGCTGCTTATTAAAGTAGCTTTCTAGTAAAAAAATAATTTTTTTACTAAAAAATTATTTTAAGAAGCAAAAAAAAAGCTATCTCAAATGAAGCCTAAGTTTCTGTTCGAAAAACTCCTCTTATCACAAATTTATGTTTGATGTGTTGTATTCAGGATAATGCATATATGACTTATATTTCTTGGCATATAATTTTCAGGTTGTATCGGAGATCATATCCACATTCTTATTAGTATTTGTGTCGTGCGGCGTGGGGGCGCTACATCTGAGCGACGACACAAGAGTGTCACAGCTAGGTGTTTCGGTTGCCTCTGGTTTGATAGTCACAGTAATGATATATTCTGTGGGACATATCTCAGGCGCTCACATGAACCCTGCTGTTACGTTTGCTTTTGCAGTATCTAAGCATGCCCAATTCCCCTGGATTCAAGTACGTAAAGCTTTTGCAATAATATTTTTTACCAAGTTTTTCGCTGCTTCCCTTTGTTTAAAAAATTATGATGTTATTTTTTAGTAATTTTTTGTTATAATTTTATAAATTTATCTTATGTTTTTTATAAAATATTCATCTTTTTATATTAACTACTCTTATAGTACTCCTGATAACTACTATAAAACATCAAATAATTAACTCTTGAAGTATGTTTTATAATGGCTATATATAAGCTCACCAATGGTGGAAATTGCAGGTACCCTTCTACTGGTTAGCTCAACTAACTGGAGCAATAATCTCTTCATTCGTCCTCAAGGCCTTGCTTCATCCTATAAAAAATCTTGGGACTACGACACCTGCAGGCACTCCACTGCAGGCTCTCATCATGGAAATTGTAGTCACTTTTATTATGATGTTCGTCACTTCTGCAGTTGCCACTGACACTAGAGCTGTGAGTATATAACCCTTCATCATTTTTTTCACAAACTATTTGTTTTCGATATTAGTAAAGCTTATAAATGGACTTCTGTACAGCTTATTTACGCTTGATTCTCTTATTTGATTTACTGCAGGTGGGAGAGTTGGCTGGTCTTGCGGTTGGATCCTCTGTTTGCATCAACTCTATTTTGGCTGGGTAATTAGAAGACAGACGTACAGAAATTATTAATTATTCATTAAGCTCCCATTATAGTTATTTTAAATTGAAAAAAATTGATTAAATTTTCTTAATTCATCTTTGATTTAATATAGCTAATTAGTAATTTACATTCACAGATTTCCAGTAAACTCCCTCAAATATAATTTATAAAAATAAAATAACCATTTTTTAAAGCACTGTTTTCTGTCTAAAAGCAATGGCAAATTTTTGCATGGGACTAATTGCACAAACATTTTGAGCTCTATCGAAGCTCCAACAAATCAAAACCATGAAAAAAGTGTATGCAAACATAAGTGATTAGAAGATCTATAATATTAAAATATGGTGTGATTGTATGATTATAAGGAATTAATTTCTTCTAATACTGCAAAAAAAAAAAAAATCCAATCTAACCATGTAGAAGCTGATGAAGGCTTTTGCGTGTGTTATATACAAGGCAAGCTAGCTACAAAACTATCAAAATTAGAGTGAATTATTTGCCTGCAGCCAAAACAGTTGAGTTGATGTTATTTGCTACAACAAATTTGAATTGCGCAGGCCGGTGTCTGGAGGATCGATGAACCCTGCAAGATCATTAGGACCAGCACTAGCCAGCAAGCGATTCAACTCACTTTGGGTCTACTTTTTGGGTCCGGTAGTGGGCACATTGCTGGCTTCGTTCTCTTATAACTTCATAAGATTTGATAAATCACGTAAAGGTGAACCTCAAAAAACACCTTCACTTAAGCTTCGCCGCTTGCAGAGCCAGGAAGCAGCAGCAGCAGATGCCTCGGATATACCTTAGTTAATGAGCCAGCTCCAGGTTTTGCATATAAGCCTTTCTTTATAAGCTTAGCTCTCAAGCTGTGACTGTAACTGGCCAGGGGAGTTGGTTTGCTCTTGTAGAAATAAAAATGATGTAAAACGCTTTGTCTAGGGCTTTCTGAGCCTTATGGAAAAATCAATTAGCATGCAATTGCAAAGCTTTTCAGAAATGATATGAGCACAATAAGATTACTTTTTTTATTTCAAATTACTTCAAAGCAAATGGATATAGATATATGAGGCTATAGCAATTACTTTGTATAATGGTTGGTTAATTACAAGGAATAGGTTTCATTTCATAAATATTCATACTCGTGCAGAAAAAAAATCCTGAAACAGTAATCTGCTCACGAAAATTTCTTGCATGCTGAAAAGAATCTTCTAGCTTGTGGTATTTGTTCTTTTTTTTTTAATCTCCTCCTGATTATATCAACATATTAATCTAATATTTTTAAAATCAAGCCGGATTAATCTATTTTTTTTAAAATCAGACCGGACATGAAATCAAGAGATTCAAATATTTTTGATTCAATGGTCAAATCGGAGTTAAACTACGTACATAACATAATAAATATTAAAATTATTTAAATATAATATTAATGATACAATTATGATATAATCATATGTAAAAATATTTGACAAAAAATAAATAGAACCACAATACTAAACATAGAATATGTATAATAAATAAATTCAAAATTTTTAAAATTAATAAAATTCAATATTTGAGTAACGAACACTTTTATTTGTATTCATAATAACAAATCATAATGTTTTCTTCAAATCTTCTATTTCTTCCTTTGCGTGTTTTAAACTCTACAAATAAAACAAAGATAAAAAAAAATCAGCAAAAACATAATAGTGTAAGTAGCATAAGTTGAAAGAAGAAGGTATTATATGATTAGCAAAATACATAAATAAATTGCAAGTTATAAAAGACATCATCATGAGTTAATCTAAATACTAAAAGATGTCAAGTATATCTTCATCCCCCAAATTTTAATGATTAAAAGTATCTTCAAAAGTTGACTCCCCAAATTTTATCTCACCAAATGCTTTCAAGTCATTACATTCAAGTATTTCATTTTCATCTCCACATTACATGAATTATCTTCATATAGTGATCAAATGTGTAAAATAAGTTATTATTTTATACTTTATATAAACAGTATCTTCAAATTTAATTAGAAACTTATTATGTGTTTTTCTTTTGCATATTTTGTTAGTTTCTTCAATAGTTGGACTTGCATTCTCTTTATAAATTTTATTCTTCAAATCTTCAAAATCAAATTCAAGAGCTGCTTTAGCATAAAGTACCAAAAATTCTAGCATTTCAATGTATGTGTTGTCCAAAAAATCATAACTTCCTTTTTTTAGGTACAACATGCAAAACAAATATGCCAATTTTTTTATTATGAATTAATCATATTTAAAAAACAAATACTGATCAAGTAGTATGCATCACAAGGTGACTAATAAATATTATCATATTTAAAACATGTGGCATATTTTTAACATTTTTTAAACAAATACTTAAGCAATGTGCCTCACAAGGTGACTAGAAAAATATTCATGTTATAGTATTGTAGCTCTCTTATAGTTTGCAACATTGCAATTACTATTTATACTGCATTCTTTGAACTAACCCGCTCAACAAATTCAACAAATAAACAACATAATGTAATTACTGCATCTTTTATGGCTTCAGAAGCATCACATGTTGATAGTAAACTATGATTTTGTGGGTTATGCCCAAAGTGTGGAAATGGAAGTTTTCCCTTTCTATTGTGGTCATTGTAAAGCTTTGAGTCATTCAAAAGCTGATTGTAGTGTGTGTTGCATCCTCATCCTGCTGTTGTCCCGCACCTGTGATTGGTTCAGTTTTGGAACCTGTGGCTCACCATGTGGCTGAGATTGATAAGGTGATTTCTGGTATTTGTGTCCAACCTTTGGCACATGTGGAGTTGGGGTTGTCTGTAAATGTTGTGTGTTCTCCTCTGATTATGCCTAGTGCTGTCGAGTTAAATAACTCTGATGTTGTTGCGGTGGTTGACATGCTGCAAAACCCTTTAGTTGTTGAGGTTGATCATGTGGATGCATTAGTTGCACCGGTTGTTGTGCCTGAGTCAGTTGCACCTTCCTGCACTACTCCTTGCTTACTTGTCTCTTCTGGTGGAGTTTTGGCTGCTAGTGTGACAGGTGACGCTCCTTCGGTTGGTATTGATGGTGAGGGTACCTTGTCTACTGATGTTGGTTTGGTGAAGATGATGGATGGTAGGGGTGTGGGTGGATTTGATGTTATTTTCGATACTACTGCTGTTTTTTGTGCTCTTTCAGATAGAGATGTTCCCTTGTCTAAAAGTTTTGAAGAGTCACTTTTGAAGGTGCCTTTAACCCTTGTTTCCAAGGATGATCTGCAATTTCACATTTCGAGGGATAGTGAGGTGTTGCAGGGTGTCTGGTTACATGCCGATAATTCCTCAGCTGATGGCGAAGATTTTTATGAGGATGATTTGGCTTCTAGAACGGATTTTATTAAAAGAAGTGGAAAACGTAGATCTCGTAATTCTAGAAATTAAAGAAGTGATGCTACTTTTGCTTTGTGTTTCTATTTTTTAGTTTCCTGTCTTTAGTTTGAATCTTTTGCTCATAGGTTTTCCTTTAAATGTTGTATTTCTAGAGGGCTTTAGATTCTTTAAGGACTTGTATCCTTATTTTGCTTTAACTGGTATGCCCCTTCTGCGGGTTTTTTTTGAAAAAAAAAAAACATGTGGATAGTAAACTAGAAAATTGACCAAAGTATTACATCTATTGCCTATTTGCCTATCCATCATTCAACCATTATTCTAGCTACATTAGTTGCTTTCCAAGTATATCTATAAGAATCAATAAGTGATATACATTCTTCTTTGCAATATCTTAATAAGTTTACTCTCATTTTAGAATAAGAAAGAAGTTTGTAGCGACGATCGGAGCACCTTTTGTATCAAAAGCTTTATGTATAAAAGATCGATTGCTTGAATTCAATGCATTAAAAGCTATGTAACGATAAGAAAAACAGTCCTGCAAGAGTCAAATTAGCACGATAATAGCATTATTAGACATCAAAACATTTTTAAGGATGGTTATGATCATTATTTTATTATAGGGGCAAAATAATTTTTCATATCATCAATCTTTATATTCCCTTTATCAATCCCTCTAAAATATGAATATGAACTTTGTGATTTAGAACGAAAAGAACATCTCTCTTCTTCTATAATTTGATTAAATAAATATGTACTATTTCTTTTACATTTTTATTATTTTTTTAATTTTCTTACATCTGATTACGAACACCAATAGACTTTTTTTTTTACAATTAACAATATTACACTTAACTCCAACACTGTGTTGTTTCATCCTTTTTATACCATCATTTTAAAAATCTAACTAGTTCGGCTAATTTGAATATGAAACGATTATACATTGTGCACAATTTCATGATAAACATAATGAGGGTGTTGAGGATCTTAGAAGTTAGGAGAGGTTGAGCCATGTGCACAATTTCATTTAATTTTTCATGAAGAAATGCATTGGCTACATCCACCTATAAGATTAACCAATCAAAATGTAATACCACCGTTAGAAACAATTTGATTGTAGATAGCTTTGCATCCGGACAAAACATCTCAAAATAATCATAATCAAACTCTTATGTAAAGCCTTGGGCAACAAAATGAGCTTTATGTCTAGCAATAGATCTATCAGAGTTTTGTTTCAATTTGAATATCCATTTTCAATCAATTATGTTTTGATTTGGTGTAGGGGGAATGAGTTACTAAGTACCTTGTGCTTGAAGAGCATGAAACTCAGTGGACATAGCCTTGCGTCACTCGAGAAATTTCACAACAAAGGAATAACAAGTTGGATTGTTGAAAGAGGTGTGTGAATGAAGAAGATTGCGAAGATGGCGAGGGTAGAGTGAGCCAGTTTAGGAGCGGGTGATCATGTGGTGGCGAGGGGGAGCAGGTTCGAAAGATTTGGAGGGACAAGTGGAACATTGTGGTGGAGAAAGTTGAATAGGAGTTTGTGGGCTTCGAAAATTCATGCCTCGGTCTCTCTGTGATCCTTTTTTTTTTTCATTTTCAGGTCGTCGGGGAGAGTTTTAACGCTTATGTTATGAGGTAAATTTTCAGAAGGCAAATTGATTTGTGAATAATACATCACTTAGAGATTTCACCCTCATTTTGTGAGGATTTTATGATATGAGTTTAGGTTTTCTATAGGCGCAAGCCCCTATAGTTAATTACCCCTCCCTCTATTGAGAGAAAATTTTAAATTAAGGCTAGTCATTGAATATATACATAGTATCACTACAAGAAAATGCAGCATTTTCGGCGGACAAAATCCGCCGATAAAATCAAAATTTCGTCGGAAATTCAGTTTTTTCGACGAATTACCGTCGAAAATATATCCGACGGTAATTCGCACGTCGGAATGTTGGAACCGGCGCCGGAAAGTTTTTCGACGTATCTTCCGGCGAACTTCCTGCGAAAGTACTGATTGTAAAATGACGTCTTCCTTAAGTAATATCTGGCTTATAGTATTAGCATGGTTTATATATTTGAAAATTTAATACTTAAAATTAGAAATTTACCACCTTGCACTTAAAGCGGATGGTAGGAGAATTGATTATAGATTTGATCAAGATCCCATGATTTCTCCGTCCTTGGTCATCCCCAAATTTATTTTTTATTGCTTTATTTATATCAATTCTTGATGGCAATCGTCTCGTTGGGTTCGTGGAGAAGTGTATTTTTACTATTTTCCATAGGTTTTCTTGGCTCTCGTTCTCTCAGTGCAGTAAAAAAACGGATCTTGAATAGTCTCTCTCGTTTCTAATTAACTTCTATTTGAGTGCGTCTGATTTCACTTTGGATGTCTATTTCAGCTTCTAAAGCTGAATTAGTTTTAAAGAAGGATTTGAGAGCCCAATAATCCTCACTCATTTAGATACAATTGCTAAAGTTGATAATGCTCCAAACTTTCATCAAATTTTCTGAAGCTTGCGTTTTAAGGCATGCTTACATGTTCTATTTGTTCATCTTTTCTGAAACTTGATATTCATTATAACGCATAAGCACAGAGCACTGGACAATACTTGAATACAAGAAAATTTTCAAGAGAGCCAAATCTCCAGTATATTATATATATTATTAGGTTTTTCTGAATTTAAGGAGGTCTTGCCCATGCATCTTTTAATGCCAAAAAGATGTAATTTTTCGTAAATTAAATTTGTTCCATAGAGATACAACCTTCAGTAGATATAATTTATCCTGTTTTAGTGTTGCAAGTTGATTACAGGAATCCTGTGCAAACGTCGAATACTGTCCGAAAATCAATCAGAATGCACCATGTCACCCCTGTTCACGGTACTGCTCGGTACTGCTAAAATGAGGCATTTTGATTGGTCTCCAGACGGACTGCACAGAATAATCTCTCCCACTTTCGACAGTGCAAAGTGGAAATCTTGGGGTCTGTTCCATCTAATCAAGGAGTGTATATCTACTAGTGAACTTTAATTTGTGATAAGCTACAGAGCTAATACTACTGTTTTGGATCATTTGGTTTACATATATTTTGTATGGGATAGTTTTTTTATTGTTTTTTTAAAGTAGCTTTCTAACATAAATTTTTTTGAAAGTCGTGAAAAGTAGTAGTCAAATGCTGTCCCAAACGAAGTCGTAAAGAGTTCTAGAAAATTATTAATAAATCAATTAAGTATGTATAAAATAGACAAAGGTAGTATATACTTATGATTATTATTATTATTATTTTAACTTTTAGTCACATATTTATATGATTGCATCATTTTTATATAAATGATGTTATATTTAAATAAAATTATTATTTATTATATCATCCGGTTCAAATCTAATTCAATCCCGATCAAATTATCAAATTCTGAATCTCTCATTCCTCCTGATTCATTATCTGGGCTAATCTTCACAATATTGATATTTAGTGAATAGTAATATAGAACATCAGATGAGCGGAATATAATTCGACAGATAGGGGATTATTCTGCTATGGCAAGGGCTCATAGGTCTGAGGATGATCTTTTAATGGTCTGTTAAAGTCTAAGAGCTCTATGAGTTTATTTTCATTCTTTTCTTAACAATTAAATTTTTTTAATTTGAATTAAAATGATGCAATAATTTTTAATAAAGGTATTATTTTAAAATGACCCACTTAAAAATATTAGAAATTCGTTCATACATAATTATTTTATTTATTATGCACATAACTCAAATAAAATTTTCAATAAATACACATAAAATATTTAGCATTCTAAAATTTTACATATGAGTTAATAGTCCTCTTAGGATTATTTCCTCCTAAGGGTGCAACCGAGTCAAGCTAGCTCGTGAGTTGGCTCGAGCTGGACTTGGTAACAGGCTCGACAAGTCAAGCTCGAACACGATTTTGAGCTCGACAGCTTTGTTGCGTCCTGGAATATTCGCGGCGGTAGAGAAATATATAGTTTAATGTCTTAGCATTGTACGAAGATCCAGCACACAATCAGATAAGTGAGAGGGTGTAACATTCATAAGAGACACCAGAGTTATTACGTGGAAAACCTCTAAAAACGGGGAAAATCACGGGGCATAGCCCAGTTGAAAATGATTCCACTAGAATTTGAGTCGGTTACAAAGGGCTGAATCGGCTCTAAGGGAGATCAGATTACAACTAGTAACTGTTCGATAGGAGTCTGGAGTTAGACCCGGCGTCACCTGGAAGTTCGAGTGTTAGTTGGTAGTCTGGCCTTGAACAGAACTTCGGGCCTTGAGCAGAACATTGGGCCTTCGGCAGAACGTCGGGCCTTGAGCAGAGCGTCGGGCCTTGAGCAGAATGTCGGGCCTTGAGCAGAGCGTCCGGCCTTCAGCAGAACGTCGGGCCTTTCAGCAAAATGTCGAGGCCTATTGCAGCAGAAATGTCAGGCCTTGACAGACAGCCGTTCGGAGCCCTTCAGCGCAAAACGTCGGGCCAGAATTCGGACCCAAGAACACGTTGGGCCTTCGTGACTAGAACGTCGGAGCCATGCAGCAGCTAAGCATCGGTGTAGAGAGAGCGTCGGCTTCGTCAAGCTGACACTATAGTACGACGTGGCCTTAAGCACAGAATGTCGTATGGAGCCTGAATGTCGGGGTCCTTCAGCAGAACGTCGGGTCTGAGAACGTGGCGTAAACGAGACGCGTGAACGTCGGGCCTTGAGTGTGGTGTGTAACGAAGCTCCGATGATGGTCCGGCGAGGGTTTTCGCAGGTGTCGTGCGAGCTCCGGGTGTGGTTCGGCGATGGTTCCAGGCAGTGGTCCGCGCGAGCTTCCTGTGGTTGTGGTTTCCGGCGAGGTTCCGTTTGGTGGTTAAGAGGAGCTTCTTCCTTCGTCTTCTCTTCTTGCTTCTTGCTTGGATCCCCCTTTATGAAGAATGAGGGCTCTATTTATAGATTTTATGGAGTGGCATAGCTCGTAAATAGGCGTGAGATCAGGGGCGAATAGGGAGTGGTCGAATGGACGGCCGATATCGAATCCTACGATCGTGCATCATTCGTTGGACATTTGAAGGTCTTAGAGATGTCAGAATTAAGCGATCTTGGGCTCGTTGGATTCGTCTCGTCGAGTCGTTCGATTCGAGTATAAGCTCGTAAAAATCAGAGACCGTTTGGTAACTCAAACAGTGTTATGAAGCTTCCAACAACTCTTCGGGTCCTTGATTTGGACTCATTTGGACTCGGATTGAGTCAAATTTGGGGTTGTTGGGTTTGTATTTCCGAGACGCTCAGTTTGACTGTGTTTGCAGAAATCGGAGTTCAGGTGCTTCCAAATTTAATTTTTGAAGTTTCCAACTTGATTTTTGCGCCGAGATTCGTGCCCGATCAAGATAATTTCGTGATGACGTATCAAACAAGCTTGAGCTCAAACAACCCTCCGCTCGGCTCGCGAGCTTGTTGAGAAGCTTGCGGAACCCGTTGCAGGCAGGAGAATGAAATCACGCGTGGGAAAATGATGGACATTGGGGACGAACTACCGCTGGCGACAGACGGAAGCTTGTGACGACGTACCGGCCCTGGCAACGATGACGACTAAAGCTGGTGACGGACATTGGCACGACGGACGTACTAAGCTCGAATTGATGCTCCAGCAGCTCAACAAGCTCTTTTTTCGTCTGTTGAGTCGAGCTTGACTAAGTTTGAGTTTGAACTAGAGCTCAATATTTGATAGATATCCTCCAGCTCGAATTCGACTCTATCCCAGATTTATTTGCACCCCTATTCCCATCATTTAAGAAATTTAAAATGTATTTTAATACCACCGCATGCCTGACCGTTGGTCAGTTGCCATGGGATTTTTTTTTTTTTAAGCAGTGAGTGCTCCAACGTTGCCATGGTTTTAATATTATTTAATGGATCGAAGAGATCACCGGGCGGACACCGGTGCCATGAATTGGCCTAACGTCTGTTTGTTTTCCGCCGCGGAAGAGGCAATCGGGCCGGCGATCGTTAACCAAACGTTACGTTCTTAGGCTCGTATTTCGCCGAACATAGGCTAGGGTTTGTCCGTACAGTATAACATTGCGAGCTCATCACATCCGGTGCTTTATCCTCCAGAGCAGGGCAAATTATTGGGTCAGGTGACCGACTCAATAATTTTTTTTCGGTTATCGCGCAGGGAACTTTGGTATTTAGCTAAAATTTCCGGTTTTAAATTGATTGCTTTATTTTTAAAACACTGCTCATGGCACCCTGTAATTCCGTAAATGATCTTTCTTTTTTATATGGATTTTGCCGGAATCGCCGCTTACAAGGATTTTCATGCATGGTTTGATAGACCTTACGATTTTTTTTCGGTTACGTTCTGGATCATGAGCGTATCTTTTAAGGGGTTTGAGTTTTGATGGCAGATTTGGTTGTTCTCCTTTTGAAATCTGTTTTTAATCCTGAAAATTGATTCCGTTACAATATCCAGGCTTTTTGTCGTCTTCCGAGGGTGAACCTGTCTACTTTTGACTGTACTAGAAATATTTCCAGTTCAGGGCTTTTGAAAAATGGGGGATCATCTGGTGCTTTGTATGGATCGCCTTATGACTACTCAGACCGTGGGGGTAAAGCCGGTGGGCGAGCAGTTGGTGTCTCCTACCTCCATGACCACACATGGTAAGGGGAAGGTGGAAAAGGTCGTTGATGAGGAAGAGGAGCCGTTGCTTCAGTTGGTCGAGTGCCGTATTTGCCAAGAGGAGGATCATATCAAGAATCTTGAGAATCCCTGTGCTTGTAGTGGTAGTCTAAAGGTTTGCCTCCCAAACCCAGTGAACTCTTTTTTTTTTTTTCAATTTTTATTTTTCTTAATTTGTGAAGTTTCAGACTGTGGCGCTGTTGTGTTATTATTGTTTTTTGGTTTTTGGAAGATTTGACATTTTCATCAGCCATTTATCGGCCTAGTCGAGTCTTTTGGACTAAGGATCTTAATTGATTTCTATCAAGTGATGAGTGATTACTATTTAGTGGTAGAAATCACACCCAACCATATTAAGAATATTGAGTTAAAAGAGAACAAGAAAGTAGAGAGATAAAGAAGACTTCTTGAGTTAGAAAATATGAGATTTTAGTAAAATAGGCTCAACACTCAATCTTATAAAATTGTGTAAACTGTGCTTACCTCTCAACCCCCTATTTATAGATTTGGGTTGAGACTTGAGCATTACATAATTGACTATATGCGTAGCTATATAGAAACTAAGAAAAATAATAATATTGATTGTGTAGTCTGATTGAAATGTCTGGCTAGATGAATTCATCTGCAGAGATTTAAAGAAATTGTCGACTCGAGTAAGTGGGATAGTCGAGTAGTCAATTAATAATTTATCTTGAGAAGTCATCTCTCATTGAGTAGTTGCCATAGCTGAGTTCATAGATAGTAGTCGTTAGAGCCGATTGATAAGTCATAATCATTGACTAGGACAAGTTCTTGGATCATGGTCACTTTCTTGATGCAAGTTCTCTTATAAATCGACAAGTATGTGACCGAATAGATTGAGTTAACCTGGCTTGAATCAGGTCAACATAGCTTGAATCGGGTTTTTTGGATATTTGGATGTAGAGTGGTAACTTTAGATTTCCTCAATTCTTTTGTTGTCCATCAATGACTATGGACTACATTAATAGTTAGCATTGTGTATATTCCTATTGTAGAAAAGCACTTGTTTGAGCAATAGTATAAAAAAGAATGTGAAATAATAATCTCAAAGAAAACACTTGTTAAAAAGAGGATACAAGAGATTTACATGGTTTGATAATAGTTGCATAGGTCCACAACCACACAAAGAGAAGTCCATTCCACTATATCAAAGATAAATATAGGATACAAAATATTTTTTCTCTTTCTAGTTTTTCCTTTGTCTCTCTAAGTTTTGAATTTCTTCTCTCTTCCTTTGTTTGAATTTTTACCCAAATGTAGTCAAAATATATCAAGGTGCCCCATGCCTTATTCACATCAATAAAGATTAAGGTATAAGCTAATAATATAAAATATATGCATATACATTATACTACTTTCTTTTCTTTATAACTCATCATCCACAACACCATTGCCACTTACTAATTTGGGCCTAGTTTCTCCCTTGACCTCACTTAACCACGTGATCAACATATATCTAATCATATGTTGGAGTCTGCAAATAAAATATAACCTAAAGCCTAATAACTTTCAGTTTTTTAGATGATGCGACCCTCTGATGATCGTGTTCCTGCTTCTGCTTCCCGGTATTTGTCATCTACACTCTGCAACACTTACTATGGCCTCATTTTTGAACACCTATGTAACAACACAAGGCAATTCTCAAAACTATCATCAAACCTTGGAAAATGCAACCACAACTTCAACTTGTTGTTACCAAGCTCAAAAATCCACTTGAGAAACCTTGATTGGCTTTGATACTCATAGGACATGCACTCTTCCAACCTTTGATTTTTATCATCTTCTCTTTAATATCAGTCTTTCAAAGCAACCATGGCTGCCAATAGCTCATGCCTGGCATCTACTTCGAGGAACCATGAGGAATCTTCTAGCAAGTGTTGTATTAGCTTCCATTGAAACCTTTGTCTCCCATCCCTTTTTATAATAATAACGAGGTAGTGGAGTGTTGCAACAAATATTACGGCTAAGATATGGAGGGTTAAATTTAAATACAAATTTTACCCATATTTCATCTTCATAATCTATAGAGATCTTGATGGCATGATTTAAGCAATAAATTTTGAGCAAATACTAAATCTTGATTTCATGAGAAATTATAGGAAATTATCTCCACATCTAGCAGTTTCTCACTTTAGTTTAAATTTTGATGTATAGTCTTGACACCTCTTCCAAAGCATTCATGAAGTTGATTAAGGCTTTGCATTACCTCAATACATTAGTGGCAAACCAATTAGCATTTACTACAACAATTTATGCCTTGCTACAATGCTCCTTGATTTTGAAATGTCATTTGTCTTGCAACACCAGATCTCACTTGACAGAAATTTTATGGCACGTTTTATTTAGAATCCCCAACATTTGAGTTCACGATTGCTCCTATTGTTATGGTGTTTGAAGTCAAGTACAATGTGCCATCTTTGCTGTTATCATAATCTCCCTTTAATCACTCTCCATTTATCAATACATAATTTCAAGATATAACCTTCTAGACCAAACTAACTAATCCAGCTCACATTCTTCTCTAAGCCAAGAATGTGCCTCATGTAATGAAGCTTCCACATTGACATATTAGCAATCTTAATTTGTGCATCACCAACTCCAATAATATTCAAAGGCTTATCATCAATTCGACAAACTTTCCTTTAATCTTTTGTGGAAGAATTAGTTATAATATTCATGTAGAATATAATGAAAAAATGCTCTTGAGTCTAGGATTTGAGATTATAAGACTATTTGCACTAAAGATTAGTGCATCATAGATCTCTCCACTCGTAACATTTATAAATTCATTTATTGAATTTGTATCATATTCTCGTTTCCTATATGGGTAGTCTCATTTAATGTAGCCAGTTTTGACACATTGAGAATACAAACTATTATGGCCTTTAAATTGACTTTCATTTTGAGATTAAGATTTGCCTCTATTATTATCTCTCTTCTATTTCTCCCTCTACTTCTAAGATTTAGATTTGTAGAAAGAAGTTCCTCCACCTTATTTTAGTCTTTTTGATATCTCAACTCCCAATCAAATTGTTGACATACATCATTAAGATTTAGGTTTGAAGACTCTCATGAGTTTTACCGTTGTCATAGTTTCACACCTTCTCTCCAGTAGTGATGATAAAAAGCTTAGTGCTCGAACTTTGTCTTCAAAGTTAATATTAGTTAACTTCAACTTGTAATCTGATTTAGCTCATTGATACTCTCTTCTACTAAAGCACATGCAATCATTTTAAGATTGAAAAACTTCTGCATTATATCTACCTTGTTTGCCACAAAGACTTCTCGTGTCATGCCTCATGCAATATCTCACATCTCATTCAAAATCCCCAACATTTAAGATCACGTTTGCTCCCACTGTTAGTCTGTTATGGTGTTCGATTTCATGTATAATGTTTCATCTTTGCTTCCATGTTTTATGACCATAACCCCCTTGATCACCTTTCATGTACAATCTATAAGGTTGAGATGTAACCTTCTTCACTCAGCTAATTAATCTTGATCAAGTTTCTTTTCAAAGTAAGAATTTTCCTCATTTTATGAAGCTTCCACATTGCCCTATTAACAATCTTAATTAGTGCATCACCAACTCACATAATATTTGAAGGTCCATCGTCAACTAGATAAACGTTCTAACAGTTCTGAAAAAAAATTATCCGTAAATTTTTATGTATAATAGAATGTAAAGATGTAGCTGAGTTTATGATCTAAGATCTTACTATTGTCTGCACTAAAGATCAATGCATCATAGATCTCTTCATTTGCAGCATTTATAATTGGTCTATTTGACTTGACTTTGTTTGCATTTTTTATATGGAGAATCTTTTTGATGTGACCAGTTTTTCCACTTCGACTGCAATAGTATTGCTACCTTTAAATTTATTTCTTGTTTGAGATTTAGATTTGGTTCATTTATAGTCTCCCCTCTTATTTCACCATCTGCTTTTAAGATTTGGAGCAGTAGAAGAAATTTCTCCATCTAATTCTTGTTTTTTAATGTCTTCACTCAAGTTCAACTCACTAAAATTTATCATTGTACTTTAGCTTTGTGCACCCATAGGAACATTGATCATCATCATAGTTCCACATGAACTCTCGTCGAAGTGATAATAACACGCTCAGTGCACAGACTTCTTCATCGAAATTACTATCAATTGCCTCAGCTGAATTGTGATCCGATTGAACTCATTGATAGGCTTTGCTGCTACTGCTATGGTGCATTCAACCATCTTGAGATTGAAGAACTTTTCATTAAATATACCTTGTTTATCATTGAAAGCTTATCGTATCACCCCTGATGCAATTATCTCACATCTCTTTCAAAATCCCCAGCATTTGCTTTCACAAACTCCCTCAATTATGGTGCTTGTTTTCATGTAGAAAATGCCTTCTTTTCTTTGTTATTAACATAACCCCATTGATCACCTTCCATGTATTAGTACATAAGATTGAGATGAAACCTTTTTCACCCAGCTTCCTAATCAAGATTGAGTCCTATTTTAACTCTGGAATGTGCCACATATTAAGTTGCTTCCACAGTGCTTTTTATATACACTTTTTTGCACATCACCGACTCCCATAATATTCAAAGGCGCATCATTAATTAGATGAAGTTTCTTGCAATTTCTGTAAATAAATCATTTATGTAGAGTCGAGTGAAAAGACAAATTTAAGTCCAACATCCATTACCATAGGACTATCTGCACTAATATCAGTGCATCGTAGATCTTTTCACTCATTGCATTCATAAATTCATTCATATGATGCGAGCTTTGTCCACCTTTCCTATATGTTTAACCTCATTTAATTTGGCCAGATTTGTCATATTGACAACACTCCTTATTATGTGCTTTAAATTGACTACTCTATTGTGATTTAGATTGACCTCTATTATTGAATTTTCTCATAATTCTACCATTTTTTTAAGATTCAAAGCCATAGAAGAAGCTCCTCCTCGCGTTCTTATCTTTTGATGTGTTCACTTAAGTTCAGGTTTCTAGCATACATCTTTGAGGTTTAGTTTTGTAGACTAACATGAACTTTGACCACAATTCCACACCGGCTCTCTGACAATGATAACAAGCTTTAGGGCACTTTGTTGTTGAGGTTAATGTCAATTGACCCCAATTATCTTGTAACCAGACTGAAATCGTTGATGTGCTTTGCTGCTTAATGCCTTCAACTATCTTGATATTGAAAACTTCTCATTATATATAGCCTTATTTGTCATTGAAGGCTTATTTTACATGTTTGAGAGAGCTTTAATCATGCCTCATGCTATATGTTGAATGAATTGTGCTTTGTGATTGCCAAATGTACAACTCCAAGCAAGTGTCAATCCAGGAGATCCTAGTCGTCTATATGTTTTGTTATGAGCCTTATTTCTAGTTTATTTTTGGTACAAGTATTCATCGATTTTTGTTTTCTGGTACCTAAAATATCTATCATCAAACTTGTCGATCTCCATTTTCTCATTCTTGAATGCCGTTGGTCCCACTTTTGTTATATAATTTTAAAGTTTGCTTATAATACCAGTTCCTACGAAAAGCGCACACATTAGAGTGGCGCTATCAACAAGAACTAGAAATAATAGTTGCAAAATAAACACTAAAAATAAGAGGGCACGAGGTGGTGAATATTTGTGATAAAATATTATGGCTGAGATTTTGAGGACTAAATATCTAATGATAAATCACTTGAATAATCTACATAGATTTAATGTGGATTTCATTTTTAAAAATTGTAGAGATTTTGATAGCATGATTTAACCAATAAATCGTTATCCTGATTTCATGATCAAATCCTTGTATCCTAATTTCGTGGGATTTGCAGAAAAAAGTTGGAGAAAATAATCTCCATATCTAACAATTCTTGCAAGTCTGGTCGTCTTTCTATGCTAAACATAGAGAAGACAATCGGGGTGTAAGTGGAGCAAACTTGTGAGTCGGCTCGAACTTCTCAAACTTGACTCGCTGACGAGCTCACGAGTCGAGTTTATCTAGCCTTGAGCTCAAGCTCTTATATTAAATGAGCTGGAATTTGAGTTTGATGGTACTTGATTCGTGGCCTCGCGAGCTTGCTTAATTAGATAAATATTTATCAATAGGAAATGTATGCTATTTATTAATTTGTAACATTTAAAAATAAACTCAACTTCTTTTAGTAAATTATATGCTTTTAAAAAAAAAAAACCAGTCTATAAAAAAACTTCTTGTTCTTCTGAATGCAGCTGCTAATTGCAAATATTTAATTACATTTAATGCAGCTGTAGTTGTTGTTGAGCTAAAAAGTTGCAAATAACAAGTTCATATGTTGGGTCTCAATTAATGTAGCCTATAGCCTATTGTTTCTCCTAAAAAAAGAAGTTTCTTCTTGATGAAGCTTCTTCTCCTACGTACCATTGTGACTTCGCTTGAGTTCTTGTAATGAATTCACCAGCTCGCCCATCATGCTTCTCGAAGAGCTCCCATCAACCGTTGTGATTTTGCCTAGGCTTATGCAGTAACTTTGCTAGTTCGCCCGTTGTGCTTCTCGAAGAGCTCCTACCGACTGTTGTGACTTCTCCCAGGCTCCTGCAGTGACTATTGTTGCTTCATCGTCAAAGAGCTCCACCGAGTTCAAGTCAGCTCTTGAGCTAGGAGTTAATGGGCGAACCGAGCTTGAGTTCATTTATAGGGCTTGACTCAAGCTTGAGTTCGAGGCTGTTTTCTAAGCGATAGGCCGAGCTTGAGTTTTCTATGACTCGAATTCAACTCAACTTGTTTACACCCCTCGAATGTTAACTTCGCTGACAATAATAATTTCTTACTGATTAGCTGGATAAGTGGAAAGATTTCAAATTCGAAGATAAAGTGTTATTTTAATGTTTTACATGTGAATATCATGTGGAATGCTACTATGAATTATGGAATATCCTCTAATTATGCTGATAGGTTATAAAATAGGAAGGAAATATCATGTGTGGCTTGCATAATTGGTTGCCATCATCCGGGGCTAATCATTTTTTCTAGGTAGAACAATAGAGATCGTAGCTTTTTTTTTCTTTGAAGTGTTAACTGCCTGGAAGAGATTTTTTTGTTCATTGTAAAGTGTAAAAAGATAAACTTGTAACATTTTAAAATGTTTTTGACTGACTCTTTGTCTATATTTAAAATCATCAAGTCCAATAATATTATTAATACACTCTGAAAATAAAGAGGCGAATAGGCCTTACCTTGATCTGATTTTTATAAGTGTAGGAGAATAAAATATTTTCTTTTTTATTTTCTTCGATTTGTCTAGTTAACTGCAATTATGTTTTCTTTCTGTCATATTAAATAGTATTGGATTATTGAATCCTGTTATAGTTTATGTATTTCATACGATTTACCTGTTTTGTTACTTCTGCAAGTTCTTGCTTCGTTGTTGTGAGCTCAAATGTCTTTCGAAATGTTGCATTTTAATTTTTTTCATCACACAGTACAGCATGCTATGTTTTTTTTCCCCTGTAAATGAATGCATTAATTTTTTTATTTTAGTATTATTCGTCTTATTACAATTTGGTCACTTTGTTTTTTGCCTGTGTCTACAGTATGCTCATAGGAATTGCGTGCAGCGATGGTGTAATGAGAAGGGGGATATAACGTGTGAGATATGTCATGAGGTATCATGTCTTTACTTTCATAGCAATTGTGATTCCAATTGCCAACATCTTCTTTAAGGTCACTCAGTGGATGCCTTTTTTCTTACCTGTCAACCTGTTCATTGCCCTCATCATGTTTCAATAATCTTTTATGATTAACGTTATAACTTTGGAAGCATATAATGATCCTTAGTGCATCGCAATAACAGAATTTGGAACATTTTGATGAATTTAAGTAGCCTACATCGGGATGTCATCATTATCATCATCAATATAGAATATCACAATTCTCCAAATATTCATTTGTAGTTGCTTTATCTTTTATTTTTTTGGGGATTTACATACATACCACTTTATTTCATTTTATTTACATATCTAACATTTAAAATTTTAATATTACATGCCTATCACCCATAGAACAAAAATGGGTGCATGGAATGAAATATTAAAATTTATAGGGTGTATAGGTGATAATAATGAAATATATGAGTGATATATTTGATATTAAAATTTTATATGAGTGATAGGAATATAATATTAAAGTTTTAGGTGTTAGATATGTAAATAGCATGAAATAAAGTGGTATGTATGTAAATTCCCCTTATTTTTTTTCTTTCATTAGAGAACATAACGACAGTTCTTGCTAAAATTTGTATTCATAGATTTTGTTTTGATTACAAATTACAATTCTTATGACAGATTTTGGTCTTTTTAGGGATAAAACTATTTCTATATGACCCCTCCTTTAAATATTTAACTCTAGTGCTCATGACAAAAAAAATTCTTACAGAACATATGATATTATACTGATAATAGTACATCTTAAGTAGTGGAAATTAGTTTGCATTGTTCCATTTGATTGATTATTATTTTTTTCTTAAGAATTACAAGCCTGGTTACAACGCACCTCCTCGCTCGTCTGATGAGACCACCATTGATATAAGGCAAGTCATCTTGTTTGACATGTATTTTCTGTATCAGTCATTAACTGTTAAAGTGAGTACTGTTCACTTGTGGAACATGATACCGCTTTATTTAATGGTGTATACTATCAATCAGGATGGGCCTGTCTCTATGATTGATTCACTGTCATTCTGGATTGCAGTGAGGACTGGACCATCACTGGTGCTCATCTGGACTTGCGTGACCCCAGTTTTCTTGCAATGGCAGCAGCTCAGCGCCACTTTCTTGAAGCTGAGTATGATGATTATGCAACTACTAATGCTAGTGGTGCAACTTTCTGCCGCTCTGCCGCACTAATTGTATGTCCTTCATATAGTTGGTATTTTTTCTCTTTACAAATGAAAGATCATTTTGTGACTATAAATGAAATGTCTCTTCTTGAATGATTAGACATTGAGTACTAAGCCATTCTTTGATGTCTTTATTTAACTATGTAGTTTGATGTCTTTATTCTTTGATGTCTCTTCATAAATATTTTATAATGTTTTTCCAGTGTCTTAGTATTGATGATTTGGAACAATATTCAGTTACACTGCCGGCCCAGGAGGGGCTGGCTGAACCGGTCCAACAGGGACCGGTTCATTGCCATAGCCGTTTTGAGATTTGCTGAATTTTGATATCTAGGATTTGTTTTGTGTGGGCTCTAGGCTTTGCTAGAGATTTGGAGAGTACTTCTTCCTCTCAAATTGAAGAAATTTGTATCTTGGTTTGTTTTTCTTGTTCGTGGGTTGAATTAAAGTATTTCTCGTGTTTCTTCTCCAATCTATTTAAAATTCGTGCATGATTTTTGCTGATTTCTCTCTGAAATCTGCCATTTTTCTCGCTGTTTTTGTCAATCCTTGCTAGGTTTGCTTGCGAACTCAAGTATTACCCTTAGGGTTACTTGCGAACTCAAGTACTTCCTATCATATTCTCTGGTAGTTTTTCATCGTGTGTTTTTAACCAATTGCAGCTGATGGCACTTCTGCTGCTGAGACATGCATTGAGTGTCAGTGGTGAGGGAGATGATGATGCTTCCGCCTTCTTTTCGGTAATTGAATATTGTTTTATAGGCTGTCCGTTTTCATTATTATTCTTTCCGTTGCGCTTCATTCTAATTTTATGCAATGGTTGACAGCTCCTTTTGCTGAGGGCTGCGGGCTTTCTTTTGCCATGTTACATCATGGCCTGGGCTATGAGCATCTTGCAGCAGAGAAGACGAAGGCAGGTTAGCATTACATTTACAATCCCTTCAGCCCCAACAATGTGAAACATGCATTAGACGTTTTATTGCTTTATTTCCTGCCATATTACCTTTTCAAATTCTATCCATGTTCATTGCTATTGAAATAGTGAAGTTTTTGTAGCTTTTATTTGCTTCTAAGCATTCTCCTGTGTAATGCGACCCAATTGTATTTGATCTGAGGAATTTGCTGGTCTTCTTTTAGGTTTCGTTTGAGATGCCTTTCTTTCTACTTCTTAAAGTAGCATTTTGTACAAAATTTAAATTTCTGTATTAGAAAGATGCTTTAAGAAGCAGAAAGAAAACCGTCCCAAACAAAGCCATAGTTATGATTCGAGTCCAAATCTGAATGAGAGTTGCATTGTTGTAATTTTAGATAACAGTAGAAATATATTATAACTTTGAACCAAAACTTTCAGCAGGAAGCAGCAGCTCTCGCGGCCACTGAAGTCGCATTTATTCTAAGATCTGGACAAGGCAGTAACTTGCAGTTCGCCATTGCACCTGACTCACCTGCTACTCCTCAGCAAGGTTCACACCAATAGAGTTCATTGATGAGCACCCGTGCAGTTGTGTTTCTTTGAATCGATAAGCTCAGCATATTATTGTCGTTTTAAGGGCTATTGAAGCTTTTTTGGTTTCATTTCTACAAATATATTCATTTTAAGTTGAAGCATTTCACATATGTAAAATTAGGGTGGTAGTTGGCTTGTAAATACTATGAAATTCTGAGGGTCAAATGAAATCCTTTTTTACCGTTTTGATGATTCGATTTGTATCCTGGTTTCCAGTCTTTGTTTCTGGTGCTGTGTTTTGGGAGGCTGAATCCTAGTCAGGCTCAGGCTCAGACCATGAAAAGCTTGTAGTTTTAGCTAAATGACTTGCTAAAGTATAAATGGGGTTTTACAGTTATTTCGTGAGCAACTTCTCATGTTTAAATCCATTTAAGAAATCAAAGAGAAAACTTAAGCTTCGTTTCGGAAAGTTTTCTTATTATTTTTGCTTTCAAATTGCATTCACAATTTTTATTTAACTCATTATTGCTTTTAAAAAAATTATGATAGGAAGTAGTTTTCTACAATAATTTTCAAAGAAAAGTTGCTTTCTACAAATTAATTTTATAATCATTTTTATTAAAAAACTGTCGCTGTCCTAAAAGGATCTTAATATAAATATATAGATTATTAAATCAATTTTCTAAAAGTGCTTTTGTATTTAATGGTATTAGTTTATATTAAGAAAAACTTGTATTATGTAATTTTCATGGGAAACTAATAATTTCATTGAATAAATTTATGCAATTATGGGATAAATAATTTCAATTAAACATTTTATGCTTGGAAAAAAAAGTTATCTTTCGGGATATTTCTTCTGAAAATATTATGCAAAAAACGCGTTGTACAATTAAAAAGAAAAAAAACATATAACAAAATTTAAACATCCTGTCAATAGAGAAGTATTAGAAAATTTATTTATGGGTAATTGTACAAATTATAGATCTATCCAAAAACATGCCATGTACAGTCTTACAACATCATAAAGCTACTTTGATTTTGAATGTGCAGCTCATCTTGATATGTTTGTTGGGAGCTTTGGTTATACCAACCAAACGGTTTTGAGTTCGAAACTGCGAATGTAATGCAAGATTTTGTAAATCGGACTAGGTCGGCCGACCAACCAGTTCAACAGCAAATCAATCGTCCTGCCGATTTCGGTTTATTTAATTATTGGTTTTGCAAAAAATCAGGATTGAACCATTTCAACCGAGAAATTGGTATCAATTTTAGAGAATTGAGTAGTACGTTGAGTCATTGATGTTAGATCTTATCGATACAATAGGCGGTTGTTTTGTGATGAGCTTTGAGGAAGTTGTTGTAGAGACGAGTTTGAGAGGTTCAAAAGGAAGGGAGAAGGAGTTTGGTGGGATGGATTGGTAGTTTGTAGTGATTGTTAGGTGGAGGAGGTATATGGGGAGCGTGCTAGATGGGGAGTATAGAGTTATTGTGGATGGGGAGTGTAGAGCTGCTGGGGGTTTCAACCGAGTGAAGGGGTTGGGAGGTTGAGAGTTGACAATGGCTTTGAGGTTGCGACAATGGAAAGGAGGACTCGGGTAGAGTAGGGGGAGCGAGTGAGAGTAGAGAAATAGACTGGTTGGGTGACCTTGACAAAGGGAAAGGGAGTTTTTGTTTATTCAAATTGGCGGTTGGGAATATATGAGCAATATTTGGTATGTATTAGGGAGGCAGTAGAATTGGTAAAGATTTAAGTGGATTTTGGTAGGTGGTCAATATTGGGTAGAGACACGACAAAATTGATAGAGATTTGAGTGGATTTTGGTAGGTGATAAGGTTAGGAGAGGGCATAGTAGGTTTAAATAATGATATGCTTAAATTTTTATCATATATTTATAAATAATTATATCATTATTATAATATTTAAATATAATAAGTATTTATTACATCATATAGTTGGACCCCGATCGAACCATGGAACTGCTAATCTTTCACTCTTCCAGTTCGTTGTTCGATCCGATTTTCAAAGCCTTGACGAAATGTGTCATGAGTTTGCCTCAATAGACATAAATATTATTATTTTTTAATTGATAGTTTTAAATAACATTCTTTATAATTTATTGTTCATCATTAAAAAAAAAATAAAGAGGGACTTCTACCCACCTTTGGCTATTAATGAACTTTGTGGGTAGAAATATTGCTATTGTGAAAGAAGAGAATTAATTGTTTTAACTTTGAACATTGAATTCAAAAAAAGATTTACGTATTTAGTGCAATATAAAGGATTGGAATTGCAGTAAATATGCTTGGTGATGAATTGAATATGGAAGTGTGATATAAAAGATGTAGTATGGTGGACAAGATGATCTCTCATCTCAAATAAGAGAAGAGACTAGATGACATGTAGTTGTTTGGTAATTAGAGACTATCACGACAATCTTCTGTTAGAAGTAGGAGAAACTTAGGCTTCGTTTGGGACGATTTTTTTACTGCTTTCTAAAACGAAGTTTTAGTACAAAATTTTTTATTTTTGTACTAAAACTCCGTTTTAGAAAGCAATAAAAAAGCCGTCCCAAACGAAGCCTTAGTGTTTTAAGAATTATGCCCTACTTTTAAATATAATTTAGTTGTTCATAATAGGTATAATTTTTAGAGTAGTATGTAATCCTTTTTTTTTTTTTAAAGAATCTTCCAATTATTCATTATCATAAGATGGTTTAAAGCCTTTTAAACTTTGGGTTTTGTTGATTTGTTACGTGATGATTTTATTGAAAAAGATCGAAGTCGTGGTATTTTTTTCACTCAAGACTGGGTCTCTATGCCAGGTGTTCTGCCCGTGGCTTCAGGGGGTATTCATGTTTGGCATATGCCTGCCCTAACCGAAATCTTTGGGGATGATTCCGTACTACAGTTTGGTGGAGGAACTTTAGGGCACCCTTGGGGAAATGCACCCGGTGCAGTAGCTAATCGGGTGTCTTTAGAAGCATGTGTACAAGCTCGTAATGAGGGACATGATCTTGCTCGTGAAGGTGTGTCCCTCCTCCCACCTTCCTTATGATTGGGAATGCAATTGAATGATTTAGTCCTTGGTTGAACTAATATGTTTACTTGACTCGGGATTGAATTAGTTTATTAGTCAGGAGCTTATGACCTTAACATTGCAACAACCATATTCAATGATATCTCCAATGAATGAAATGATACCACTATTTTAAAACCATTGATGTTATAAATCCCACAAAGTTGATAGATAGTTTTTTTATAACTAGATTGATCAAAATAGTTATACGAACATTCGATTGTATATTTAGTGCATTTAATAAATGATAGCATGCTACTTTTTGTATTAAAATATTATCTCTTAAGCCACATCATAAATGGCTTGTTAATTAGAGGCTTGAAAATATCATAGGAATCATGGGAAGTTCAAATCCAAATAGATGAACTACACTATAATGAGCAAACCTCATCATAATTTGAGGTTAGATGGGAGTTAATAATGGTGAAATGGTGTCAGGGAGTATGTGGGCTAGCAACTCGATTGATTATAGTGGAATTAATAACATCAATTAATATTTGCCCTCTATGTGAGGGAGAAGGGTGAGCTAGTCAACCCCTTCGACTGAACAAAACATATCTAAGGGTTAAATACACACAAATTTTAATGACTTTTTGGTTAATCATTACAAGGAGGTAATCAATTTAACTATTATGTATAAAATTTAGAGTTTATTTGATCCTTATAATAAATTTTAAAAGTTATTAGTTAAAATTTTTGTATGTTTAAATCCATAATTTATGTCAAAATTAAAGTTAAATCAAAATAAAATTTTAAATCATAACAACTATCACCTTGTTTTTTAGCATGAAAGACTATAAGTTTGAAAACATCATAAAAAATTACAAGATAAGAAAAATTGTTGAACATTACCATTACATATACTTGTATTGATCTCAACACGAGCTCCTCATCAAAGGTATGAACCAACTTCTTCTTAATTACAACTTCATGTGTATGAAATTTTAGATGCCATTGATGTACTTTTGATTGTAAAAAAGTACTCTCCAAAAGTAAGTTGGGTACCCTAGGCCTAATAAGCTTTGGGCCAGTCTTCCTTAGGCAACTTTTAAGAAGTATAGAAGTTTGCCCCTTAGATTCATAAAATTCATGAAGATCTTTATCATTCCATATGGTAGTTTAAATAAGAAGTAGAGAAGTTTGCCCCTTAGATTCTTAAAATTCATGAAGATCATTATTACTCCATATGGTAGTTTAAATAAGCACCATAGTGTCACCTCGTTGCACATTGCAATAATTGATTGAGTTGATTAATGTATTATCCATTGTTAAGTTTAGTTAGATGTTATTTTGAAAGCCACAATGCCTAGTGAAATATTAATTAATATGGCCGTCGAGAAATTTAAGCCTTTTCATATATAGGTTGGATTGAGCTAAAATGCTAGCTTGACCACATTATTCTATGCCAACCCTTGATAGGATTAGATTGACATATCTTGATAGCCAGATCTAGTCAAGATGCTCTTGTGATAGATCAACTAGTGATCCTGGTGATCCTCTGATAAATTTATAATAGTATAATAGGATATTTGCCAACTTTTTATTAGTCTTAGATGATTATTGAAATTATGGGTGTCAATTTTGGGCCACGAGTCGGGTTCGGGTCAAATTCGAAATTAACCCCGCACTATTCGGGTCAACCTGAACCCGACTAGTTTCAGCAAACGAGTTAGTTTCTCGGACTCGAACCCGACCCGCTTCGGGTCCGGTCAACTAGACACGACCCGAATGACCCGGGACAGATAAAAAATTGCTAGTTTTAGGATAAAAATGGGTAAATATCTGATTTCGGGTAAAAAGTGGGTTAATCTCGGATTTTTCAGGTAAAAAAGGGTTTTCGAGTCAAAACATGTCAATTTCGGGTTACTGGGTCAACCGGACCCCGACCTATTTTTTTAAACGGACCGATTTAAGTAATATATTGTAATTATTATTTTTCTAAATCTTTTTAAAATATAATACATTTTAGATATCTAAGAATGGACTATTATGTAAAATTTTAATAATTTATGTTAATATAATTATATGCTTATTTTCTTTTTTCAACTTTATCAAGATTTATTATCTCAACTATTTAAATATATAAAACAAATAATAATAAGATGACCTATGAAAGGGCTAATTAAATTAATTACATAGAAATTTCTTATATTTTTTCCTCTCACCCGTCCTGCCTTTCGGATTTCCGACCTTTTTTTTGTCCACCGTGAAGCTCGTGGATAGCGGAGGGATAAGAAGAAAGTCAGATGATGTCTCTGTTTCTCATTCCTCTCCGGCCACCGGCCGTTGCTCTGCTGGTAAACGCCGGCCTTCCCACTTTCAGGAGCCAAGCTTTTCCTTCAAGTAGAGAAGGCGGGGGAGTTCTTCCCGGTCGTCACTCTCTGTTCGCAGAATCAAAGGGAATCCATACTCTGAGCATCAGAAAATCCAGAGAACTCCCGTTCGCATGCTTCTATGATACGAAGAAAGACTTAGATAATGGTCTTGCAGACAAGGTATCTTCTTTCCTTGGAGAGATGTGGATATTTGGAAGATAATAGAGTAATTGACCGACATAGTGACCCTGTTTCCAAAGAAAGAACGCCCTTTCCTCATTGGGGGGAAAGAAAGGGTTATTTTTTACATTTTTTGTTGCTTTTCGTAATTTGTGAAATGGCTTTTTGAGAATGTAAATAATGGAGTAAGAAGCAACTTGTAGGTGATATGGTTCTTAATTAAAGTAAGCATTTTATAGTTTATTGCTATCATATTATATAGGTGCTCTGGTGAGCAGCTTTTTTTCCGAAAATTTGAATTTTTTTGTTTTTGTTTCTAACCCCTACCCAGGAGACAGGAGAAATTATTTTGTGCGGACTCTGAATGTAGCTCTGCATTCTAACTCCAATTAAATGAAGACACGTGTATGTATATATATATATTGCTAGCTTGATGACCCGACCCTGTTCAAAGGTGAAAATTTTGAAAAAAGGCCTTAACTGTGTTGCATTTGCTGCAATCTTCTTATGTCTATAGAAGATCCACTGCACTTGTAGTACGTCCGCTATTGTTTCTTGTAGGCAGGACCGATGCATGCATTTTCAGTCTTCTACTGTCATTTGTGATCAAGTTGCTTTGCATGCATATCTTCTAATATTGCTTATAGGCGTTTGCATTTACTACAATTCTTCTGCATTTGCCTGTAGGTGGCACGCTGTGTACATGGCTAGTCTCCTACAGTGGCTCGTAAATGTTAGCATCTGCTGTGGTTCTTCCATATTTGCCCACATATAACATATTGTATTCATGACGAGTCTCCTGCAGTGGCTCATAGATGTTTGCATTTGCTACAGTTCTTCTATATTTGCCCACATATAGCAAGTTGTATTCATGACGAGTCTCCTATAGCAACTCGTAGGTACCTGCATTTGTTGTATGCTCTCCTCCTTTGCTTGCAGGGGGAGTTAATGTATTTGGTTGTAGGTTGATGTTGATTGCTGATGAGCTACATTCATCGTTGATTTCTTTATGATTGTTGATGTGGGTTACCAGTTGAGCTGCACTCATTACTAGCTTCTCCATATATGTTGGTTGGCAAGTTTTTGCTAAATGCACATTTTTCCCTTCTGCTTATAGGGCACTGTTGATGTGAGCATTGCACATTGATCACTTGCTCTTTGCTTCCGAGGGATAGGTGTATCTACTTGCCGTCGAATTGTTGTTGCCTATAGGAATGATCTAGCATTTTGCTGCATGTCGTTCGTCATCATCCGTAGGTGGATTGCTTTATGAGTGAGGAGTCTCCTATAATGGCTCGTAGGAGCTCCTATGTATTGAAAACATGTCATTCTTGTTGAAGATGATATGTTGTGTGCATATCTGTGTTCACAGGGAACTGGTCACCCTTGCAATATATCTGTTGTTGCTGATTGTAGGGGCTACTGTATTTTCTTGCATGACTCATGTGAACACTGCACATCGGCTGCCGTCATTTGTATGCAATTTATAGTATTATTTGGGAGCTTTGTTCATTTGTTCATTCATTGCTTGTAAGGTCGAATATGCTTGCTTATATTTTGATGCTGACTGCAAGACGTTGGGTTCATTGCATATCCTTCATATATCCCTCACGAATGTTCCATCCATGATTGAGATGAATTGCCTATATTTATGTTACGTGTTCCCCTCAAAACAATTGATTGTAGCTTGTTGTCATTTGCTTGCAAGCGAGTGGTGTTTGGCAATTTGTTCATCACGAGTTCTCTAATTATTCTTTAATGTTCATGTGAATGTGAATAATTTGAACCATATTTTAGGATTTACATTTTTTGGGTGCATTTTAGGGTCTAGTTTAGGGTTTAGGAATGACATGGTTAGAAAATATTAGGAATGACCTTTCTTTATTAGATTTAAACGAGAATTTGACTTTTAATTGGACACAATGGAGAAAAAGGATTCATGTAGCCGACCCCACGTAGTGGGATAAGGCTTGATGTTGTTGTTGTTGTTGTATTTTAGGGTCTAGTTCTTTGCTTATTAATTTAAGTTATATTCCTTGTAGTCTAGATCTTGCTCCCTGTCAGTGTTCATGTTCCCTGTTGTTCATTTAAGTTTAAGTCCTTGTCATTTGATTTAAGTCCATGTCCTCTGTTCAATTCAAATTTCGGCAGCCTCCTGACGCCTCTTCAATTTAGGGGAAATTTTTGGGAGTTGGGCCTTCCCACTACGCTACAAAGAGTGTATGGGTCTTCGAGTTATTTGTTTGAAAACACAGTTTTTCCCCGCAGGCATTGAAGTGCGTATATGAGTACTTAAGTTGTCACCGCCGTGCTACGAAGAGCATGTACAAGGCCTACCCATCTCGCCGCAAGCACCGCACCGAATTCTCTCCCACCACGCTATGAAGAGCGTGTATGGGTGGTCCCGTGGCACACTGCGAGAATTAATTGTCTTACTCCTACTCACTGTATGACATTTTTGAATTTGTTATTTTCGCTACTTTTCTGTGGTTTCTGAGTGAACCTTTCTTTACTATTGACATCTTGTTTGGTGGATGCTTAGGCTTCGTTTGATACTTGAAAACGTTTTAAGAAGCATTAAGAAAGCCATCTCAAATGAAGCCTTAGTCTTGTTGTAGAAGCACGGGCTGATGGAAAATTTGAAATTTTTTTTAGGCAGCTTTATGGCAATTTGATTTACATAAATAACATTGATTTATAATATAGAGTTGAGTTTGTGTTCCTTAATTGAAATGAAAGGATTTCCGTGTAATGAAAACTGGAAAGAATGAACTGATTAAATTGGAGAAAGATTAGAATTAGTGCATTGTGTTGTTAATATCATTGTAATTAGTTTAGGATTGTACCGCACTCTGTTTTCAATTTGTAGTTTCTGGAATGAAGGGGTTATATCTTGAAGGATCATTTTAGATTGCTGTTCTTATTGGTATAGTTGAACTAGATAGAGCACATAATGTAGCTTTGAAAAAGGAAAATAATGGAGGTTATACAGTCAAACGCAATAGTTTGATTGGGTTATAACCTACACTGACTAGATAAAGAGGTATTATGGAAACAGTTTGGCGTTCAACCTCTATTTTATCATTCAAAAGGTTATGAGGAAATGTGGAAGCAACTCTTTGTATTTTCAATTTTATTGAAATGACCTTGTCGAAGGCTTTGGCTTGGCATCTTACTCGCAAAGCATAAGACTGAGAAGCTTTTGTAAATTTTGAATTTAGTTGCTTATTCGAAGAAGAAACTTTTGCAGAACTTTTAAAGATTGAATTATTTCATCAAAGTCATATTAGGACATTATAAACATCGAATTTTTTGTTTATCCGGACAAGAACGTTTTGCAAAACTTGTATCTTACTTGCCAAGCATAAATATGAGAATGGCTTCATATCCATCATTTGGTTTATGCAGCTGCCATCAAAATCAAGTTAGAGCAAAACAACCATTATTGTAAATATAGCGCATTGTCAGCTTGCAGTCATTCTTTTCTTACGCTAATAGCTTTCTGATTTTTATTTTGAACCTGAACAATCTGTGCAGCGATTGGGAGTAAATTGGCCCATCCTTTCTCGATGGGATGTGCCTTGGGAGTGGCAAACTGTTCTGTTCTCCATGATTGCTTGTGGAGCAAGGTAACCTGCAAAACTATCTTTTCTTTGGATGGGAGATACATATCAAGATTACAAAAACAACTTTGAGAGTTTGAATTTTACTTTTTTTCCTCTTCACATCCATTTAACTTTTAGGTTATTCTGTGTACTAGTTTTGCTTAGAATTGATATTTGAATGATCAAATGAAATTGAAACTTCTGCAGACAGCTTTGCTTTGACAGGCTTGGTTGAAGCAGTCGCGTTGCCATATCTTGGTTTTCAAGGTGGAGAAGTAAGTTTAGATCAGAAGGCAGAGATACTTTTTGCAGGACAGTTGTACGTCCTAATATATTTCTTAGCGATTGATCTCTTGCAATTTTCCAAGAATTACTGGGTTGGATGTATGTATATACAACCTAGGTTGTCAATTTTTGATATTTCTCTTGATTTTGCAGTGCTGTGACAGCTAGTGTTCTAAGTGTTCTATATGGCATAACTAATACCTTTCGTCCATTTCCAAATGATATCTTCAACTATGGTTTGTAATCATAATCTTCAAGCACTGCCTTAATGTATAATCAAATTTGCCTACTTTTATTCCCTTCTTTGTTTAATTATCTCTGGGAAAGTTAACAAGTTTTGATTTGAAATAAATCAAATATACTTACTTTTATAAGAGAATGAAAGAAAATAACTTCTGTAGCATATGCATATTCCAGATCTGAAGGAACCATTTGATCTTCAAAACGGTTGGCTTCTCTGGGCTGGGGTTGGACTGTTTGGCGCAGTAATTGCAATCGCCTTGGTAGGATTTCTCTTGAACATCATGAATTCAGAACAGCCACAAAGAGAGGTCAGCTTCATTTTATATGTTAATTCTGAAATTTGAAGTTAATTATTACTCATCTTCTGAAAAGTAAATTGTTGAAGAGTGTGCCTAATTGTATACAATTTCAACTCGATATTTTATTGTCTATTTACTTGTTCAAAAGTTCTGCCTCTTAAAAGATTGTTCGAAAATGTTCAATTAGACATGCCGTGGCTTTAAACAAAGCACAAATCAAAGGAATGATCATTTATTTATAATTACAGGAATTTAAATCATTCTTTGCCATTTGTTATGTGTGTTTTTGTGTTAGAGAGAAAAAGAGGAGCCGGAGGGTGTTTTCTGTATCTCTTTTTTTATTCATGGAATGAAGTAAAAATATTTGTTGTTTAATTAAAGCGAAGGCCTGTACTTACTAGAGGAACAATGAATGAGTTAAGGGGGTTAAGGGCCTGTGATAGTCATATATGATTTTATCTGGTCCCAACCAAGAAAAACGAGTCATGAAAATTGATGTAATTCCAAATGAAAGAAAAAGTATTTAGACTCCCAAAATTTCTTTCTAAATGCATTGGACCTAAAATTTTACCAAGCAGATCATTAATAAATGCATTCATAGAATTTCACCCTATTTTCACTGTTCTATGTTAGTGGATTTGAGATCTTAGATGGGCATGAAACTCAATGACACCAGAACACCTCACAGGAAACAAGAAAGAAGATAGAAAGATAGAAGAGAAGAGAAAAAGATAGAATTGCTTGATCACCACCTGATTGCAAACCCAGGATACAGAATTTCAGTTGAGCTGAAACATTTCATTTGCTTTCTAAAACCATCAACCTCTCTAGAGAACACTAAGTTCCTTAAATAGGACTTACAACACACTCTTAACAGAACAAGCAAAACTCAACCGAAAATACCTTGGATTTCTATTGAATCGGACCCAACGGCTAGGCTGTTTGGTTCGGTATGGTTTCAGCTGTAGCCTGGACCAAAATGTTAGACCAAGCAGTTCTCAGCTCCTGCATCTGGCAAAGCCCGGACTCAGCTCCTTCGTCATTCCCCTGGTCTTGAGAAGATCCTACTGTATCCATGACTTCTGCATTAGTCCTTGCTTCATCCATGTCTTCTGCGTCATTCCCCCAGCCATGAGAGGTGGCGGTTACGTCTGCGGAGGGATTGCCGTCTTCATAATAATGAGATAGATCTGCAACATTGAAAATGGGTGAGATTTGTAAACTTCCAGGTAACTCTATTTGCAATTCATTATCATTAATGTGTTTAAGAATACTGATGTAGATATCAGATCATGAAAGGTTTATCAGAGACGTGGCCGCCGATCTACGACCACGATTGAGTCATTGTATTTTTGATTTGTTTTATGTATTTTCTTATTTATGATGTCGTATTGTATTTTGGTTTATTTAGTTTCCCGTTGTACTCTTTTATTAAGGGATGTCGTATGTAAGCCCTAGGGGCATTGTCGTCCTTTATGTTTGAGTCATTGCAAGAGGCTATTTATAGCCCCCTTGTTCTTCTTTGCAAGCTAATGAATGAATGAATGATAAAGATTTTTCATGTGGTTTGAGTTCTTGAGAGAGTTTGAGAAAGGTTTGAGAGAGATCCCTAGGAGAGGGAATTGGATCACCCACCAATCTCGGAAGAGTCCGGATTCGTGGTTAGTTTTGAAATTCTTTTCTCCTTCTTCCTCCTCCTCTCTTTTCCCAACGACCACCTCCAGCACCGGCCAACCACAAGCCCTTCTCCCCTTGGAGCTTGGGATAATTTCCCTAGCCTCCCTACCCACCCGATCCCACCCCCACCTCACCCAAACTCGGCGGCAAGCCCAGTCAAGCCGCCGGCCTCCCATGTGTTGTCCCCCTTTGGCTTTTGTCAAACCTTTCCATTTGGGTCTTCCTAGGTTAGGAAACTTATTTAATTCAAATCCAAATTTAATTTGAGTTTGAATTGTTTCCTAATTTGTGAATCCTATTTTTGGAAAGTTTCCTATTTAAATCCTATTTGAATTTAACATTCAAATTGGATTTAAATATCCCTTTCCAAATATTCAAATCCAAATCAAGCAATATTAATTGTCTCCCTAAATCCCTCTCCCTCTTATGGATGCCGCCGACCCCTCATCCCATTAATCCCCATTTATTTCTTTCCTAAAACCCAATTCGTTACTTAGGAAATAATTTCAAATCCCCTAATCCATCCTTGGCTGAAATCTCATAACCCCACACCTTATCTTCTTTCCTAAAGCAAGCATTGAGATTTGGAAACAAATCTCCCCCTAATTCCCTCTCATGTTGCCGCCCCTACCCCTCTCCCTCTCCTCTTAATTAATTTCATGCATGAGGATTAATTAGTGGATCGATTGGCACTTCTTCCTCCACAAAATTTGAACCTAATTTCTCCCTAAGTCTCCTCCCTTGGCCGCCACTTTCCATCATCTCCACTTAAGAGAAACTTCTTTCTCTCCAACGGAGTTCAAGATTACTACCAATTTTTGGAAGAAATCATCATCTAGCATTCATGATGGCCGATCCCGGTACTGACTACAGACTTGCCTACGACGAACACGACTTCGTGCACATTCTCCATTCAACCTTATTTGACGTTAACCCGAGGATCGACCATACGGTTGAGGACTACCTAGAACGCATCTTGGGCACCTTGATTGAAGCGATTGAAGAGCAACTTGAGATCGTCGAGTAGAGGATTGCAACAGATCCTTGACGAAGGTTTTCTAATTTGCCAATTTTCTTGTATTTGTGATATTGATTTTAGCTACGAAGGTTGCATTTGCCTAATTCTTCCAAGCTTAGTAAACATAGGGATTTGAGTGCATTCATATGTTTTTTAATCTTATTGTTAGACTAGAGATTTTCGTTGAAAACTACTACTCTTGCATGATGTTATTTTCCTACGTTATTTTGATGATTCAAATCTCTTGATGTGCAACTTAGCCTAAAAGGCGGTGACCACTCTTACGTTTTGATTTTTCATTTTATTCTCTAATATGTCTATTTGTTATTTCTCTAATCAATAAGTTGTGCAAACTCTTAATAAATTCATTGCAAGCATCGTAGTCCTACATCAGATACATAAGTCCTTCTGCTTTAGGCTTGAGCTTGCTATGTCCTCTAGTTGGAAATCTTTCCTTGCTTAATCTTATCCAAACTAGATCTCCCACTTTAAAGTTTCCTTGCCGCTTTGATTTGTTTGCCTGCTTTGATATTTAGCATTATGTTTCTGAATTTGCTGCTGCACTTACTGGTGGAGTTTGTGAATTTCCTTTATGTGGGTTTCAACATCTGGATGTTGAGTTATTGTGGACACAAGAGGCTCTATTTCTAGCGGTCCAGTAGGATTTAGTCCATATATGATCTCAAAAGGGCTATGACCAGTAGATTGGTTTCTGGATCGATTATAAGCAAACTCTACCTGACCCAAAATTTCATCCCATTGACAAATCTTTTTCCCTGCAAAGCATCTCAAAAAGTTTCCCAAACTTCTATTAACGGCTTCAGTTTGTCCATAAGTCTGCGGATGTGCCATTGAACTAAATTGTAGCTTAGTTCCTAGTTTTGACCACAAATTTCTTCAAAAATGACTAAGAAATTTAACGTCTTTATCCGAAGTGATTGTCTTTAAGATACCATGCGGTCGTACAATTTCATGGAAGTAGAGTCTTGCCACATGTGATGCATCCAAAGTCTTTCGGCATAGCACAAAATGAGCCATTTTTGGAAAATGATCAACTACAACCATGACAGAATATTTTTGCCTTTGAGTGAGAGGGAGTCTCAAGACAAAATTCATGCTAACATCCACCCAAGATGAATTAGGTACAGGTAACAACAAGTATAGCCCTCTATTATGCTATGTTGTCTTGGCTATTTTGCACTTTTTACACCTTTTAACATGTCTCTCAACATCTATAGTATGTAATGGCCAATAGAAATTCTCTTGGATGATGGCGAGTGTCTTGTCCCACCCAAAGTGTCCAGATAACTCTCCATCATGATTTTCAATAATAATGACATCTCGCATAGAACAAAAACTATTTTGTGTTCCTGTGGTCCATAGAAACTGCGATTGTTTGAGAAGTTCTGTCAAAGGAGCAACTATGGTGCTAAAGTTCTTGATGAATCGTCAAGAAAAGGATGCCAATCCATGAAATCTTTGGACATCATTCATGGATGAGGGTGTCAACCATTCTTGAATAGCTCTCACCTTCTCGTGATCCATTTGAAGGCCTTCAGGGGACACTATAAACCCCAAGAATTTGATGGTGTTGACCATAAATTCACATTTAGATGTATTGGCAAACAACTTTTGTTTCAAAGCAAAGGCATATATATGTGTGCTTATTATATTACTTGCCGTAGGTGTTGTATGTGTGCTTCTAAGTTTCGGCTATATATTAAAATGTCATCAAAGCAAACAACAAAAAAATTATTTATAAAAGGGCTGAAAACCTTATTCATGAGTCGCGTGAAGGTACTCAGTGCGTTGGATAAGTCAAAAGGCATAACAGTCGATTCATATAACCTGTCCATTGTCTTAAAAGTTGTTTTCCATTCGTCTCCTAGCCTCATTCTGATTTGGTGATAGCCTCTTCATAAACCTATCCTTGAAAAGACGACTAAACCACATAGTTGGTTAAATAAATCATCGACACATGGAATATGAAATTGATATTTGATAGTGATTTTATTGACGGCTCAACTATCGATGCACATGCGTCAAGTTCCATCTTTCTTTTGCACAAGGAGGGCGGGGACGACACATGGATTAGCACTAGGTCTTACAAAACCTGCAATTATTAGTTCGTCGACCTGTCTTTGTAACTCATAATTTTTAGGAGACATTTGATAGGTGGGCCTGTTAGGAATAACGGATCTAGGTATGAAGTCAATGGCATGTTGCACTTCCCTTATAGGTGCAAACCTTTGGGAAGTACATCAGGAAAAACTTGACTTAATTCATGTAGCAGATTTTTAACTTCATCTGGGTG